CACGCCCGCCTCCTCGAAGGTCTCGCGGATGGCGCAGATGCGGGCGGCGACGTCATCCGGCAGCGCCGCGGCGTCCTCGTCGTCGGCGGCGTCGGGCAGCCCTGGGAAAGAGGCAGGCCGCGACCGTGCGGGGCCCAGGCCGAAGAGCGGCGGCTGGTGGTGCGGCGCGAAGAGGCGCAACCAGTCTGCCGAGCAGTCTGCCGTGTTCTGCACGCCCCCCGGGAAGACGTGCGCCCCGGGCAAGAAGCCTTGGTTCTCGGAGCGCTGCAGCAGCAGCAGCCGGAAGCCCTCGGGGGGCAGCGACGGGGCGGCGGGGCTTGGGCGCACCCAGCTGGCCGCCAGTAGGATGGTGGCTGCCCGCCGCCAGCTGCTGGCGCGCGGCTGCAGGGAGGAGTTCATGGCGGGCGGGCGGCGGGAGGCTTCCGGGTTCCGGGTTGCGGCGCGGCAGGAGCTCCTGCGCACCGATTCTGTCGCCCCCAGCGGTTGTCCTGGGCTTGGGGACCTAGGCCCGCGCCTTATAGGACGAACTTGAGGCGTGGCGCGCGCACTGGGCGCCGATGAATTTGGGCAGTTCGGCCTCCACCCGCGCCTGCCTGTGGGAGGGGCGTGGCGCGGAGGCGAACCAGCACCTCCTCTCGTGCCTTAGTTCCCAGTCGGGTCATTCGTAGGACTAAGGCTGTCACTGCCCCCTGCGAGGGATTGTCGTTCAAGCCGCCTGAAAGGAGGGCCCCATCGTCCGCCCCCGGGACACTCGGACGGAGAGCAGGAATGACCTGTCTTGGTAAAAATGCGATGGAGTTATTTCACCAGGCCTGGTGACACCTACCCCACCAAACCCCGAAGAACTAAGACTTAATCCCTGCACCACACGGCTAGACACCAACGTGTATAACTTTGGCAGAGAAGGAGGTCCAAAGGGTAGGTCTCTGAGCTTTGCCGGCTCACCTGATACCACCAATGAGGAACTGATGGATGAACCAGATGCCAAATTATGAGTTTCCCACTGCACAGCCTGAATGCGAAAGGCCCTCCTTGCGTCCCTGCTCCTCAGGGTGATCTGTGTTGTGTTCTGGACACCTTTTACTGTCAGGGCACCTGGGACCACCTTAAGCATCTGAGGTCATTTGATGATTTCCACTTTCATGGGAGATGCTTAACCCAGGCCTAGAGATGGGAATTTCTCTCTGCTTCACTTTCTTAGTGGCTGTAATACTCCCACTTCCAAGAGATGCATTACTATCTCTTAGAGCCTGTTTAAATCAGAATCTTCTCATTTACAACTCCTCATCAGTTGCCAACAGCTTCTCCCACAATAGCTATTATGACATTTGTTATGTATTTGGATGAAATATACTGTTCTTTTGGTGGGCCTCATTTAAGAGTTACCATTTTTATGTCAGTTATTTCCTGGGGGAGAATCCACAGATGACACTGCCAGTTTTCGGGCTGGTTTTTGTTAGCAGCATTTTCTAAAGGTGCAAATCCCAGTATTGACTGTGTTCCAGAAACAAACAAAAAACGGGTCCACATACTGAGAAAAGCACATACGGAGGCCAAGGGAGGACACACGGCCTACTGGAGGATCTACCAGCTTTCATCTACCTTGAGTCCACAGAATCCACAGTTGGGGAACCCCTTCCTGAACTGCTTCCCAGATTCATGTGGCTTTCTGCTCTGAGACCCATCATTTCAGAATCTATTGTAGAGTCTGGAGTGGCACCCTGGAGCCTGTATTTTCACACTTCCTGACTCCCCGGGTGATTCCAGTGCTGTGAGTCATGGGAAGCTGTAAAAGGAGGTGATATAATCGAGTCCATATCTTCAAAGGTCACCCTAACAGCAGCATGGTGACTTGATTGGATGACCCATGGACTGTGCTAGGCAAGAAATAATGAAGGCCTAAACTAGGAGAGTGACCATGGAGAGAGGGTGAGGTGGGAGAAGGGAATGATTTACAGAGTATTTAGGAGGTAGACTTGATGTAGTGTGGTAATTGGTTGAATATGCAGAGCAAGAGACAGGAGTTAAGTTCTAGCTTGGAAGATTGAAATAATGGTTATTCAATCCTAGAAGTTGTAATAATAATGATATTAAGCATTTACTGTGTGAGGCTTTTGGAACTTTGTAAGTATTAGCTGTATAATCCTCACAAAACCACATCAGGTGGAAATAGTTTTTGCCATTTCACAGAAGAGAAGCTATTGACAGAGTGGTTAAGTCTCTTTTTTTTTTTTTTTTTAAAGATTTTATTTATTTATTTGACAGAGAGAGACACAGAGAGAAAGGGAACACAAGCAGGGGGAGTGGGAGAAGGAGAAGCAAGCTTCCCGCTGAGCAGGGAGCCCGATGTGGGGCTCGATCCCAGGACCCTGGGATCATGACCTGAGCCAAAGGCAGACGCTTAGCGACTGAGCCACCCAGGCGCCCCGGCAGAGTGGTTAAGTCTCTTAAGGGACACACTATTCACTGTAAAGTAACACCATCACTTTGTAGATTAAAAAACAAATGTTTATATTTTGATATCAGCTACTTTTCCCAAAGGCTGGTCACTCCTGAGTGAGATGACCAGGTTCTAGAGTGTGTAGCAAAGTGGTATACTTTGGTTGGATCTTAACCAATGCAGAACAGTCTCGAGAACTGCACACGGCTATGTTAGTCCTAGTAGGCTCTGTGGTTATGTGATACCAGTTTATGTATGTATCCACAGATCACATTCTGTAACCTCAGTTATCTGAACTGTAGTTAAGAACAAGAACAGAAGCAAAGAATAGACTCTGGAGTAGCAGAAGGGATACAGATATATTCAAATCTAATGTGATCTGCTCAGAGGAAAAATTAATTTGCAGATATATTTATTGCAATTAACAAATTTCTCTGAAACTTGGTGGCTTACAATGATGAACATTACCTCACAGTTTCTGTGGCTCAAGAGTTCGAGAACATCTTAGCGGGGTGGTTCTCATTCAGTATCTCCCATGATGTTGTGGTCAGCCTATCAGCCGGGGCTTGCTTGGGCCTGAGAGATCCAGTTCCACAATGGCCCACTTGTATGGCTGTTGGCCGGAGGCCTCAGTTCCCCACCACACTGGCCTCTCCACAGAGCCACTTGAATGTCTTTGAGACTGGGCATTTACTTTCCCCAGAGAGAGTGACCCATGAGAGAGGAAGAAGCCACAATGCATCTTATGACTTAGCCTGAGAAGTCACCTGCCATTTCCACAGTATCCTATTTTTACACTGGTCTTCTCTATTCAGTGTGGACACTAACTACACCAAAATACCAGGATGTGAGGGGATCATCGGGGGTCATCTTGGAGGCTGTAGTAACAGTGGATAAAAAAAATGAATCCATGCAAGCATTAGAAGAAAACAGGTAAATTCCTCTTTGACTCAAACTTCAGAAGCAATAGGGGAAAAAAGATTGGTCAACTGGACATTCTCTCCATATTTATAACTTCATCATGACAAAAAACAGCCTAAGAAAGTCTAAGACGGGCGCGTGGGTGGCTCAGTCGATAAGCCTTCGGCTCAGGTCATGATCCCAGGGTCCTGGGATCGAGTCCCGCGTCGGGCTCCCTGCTCCGTGGGAAGCCTGCTTCTCCCTCTCCAACTCCCCCTGCTTGTATTCCCTCTCTCGCTCTCTCTGTGTGTCAAATAAAATCTAAAAAAAAAAAAAAAAAAGTCTAAGACATAATAAACTGGGAAAATTATCTGTAATGCCTGTCACAAAGGATCAAGCCTCCAATAGTGTAGAAAAATGGGCAAGAAAGAGGTCAGAGTGATTTATTTAAGGTCACAGCCAGCAAGTGTCGGGAACTCTCCAAACCGATTGGCATATTCTGAGTTCCCTGCGCAGGCCTGTCCTGCCAGGGGCACAGTGCAAATAACAGTAAGTGTGCCCAGTGATCCCCTAGTAGCACTGGCCATTAATGCGCCACTTGGTCATGAGAGAGCGAGTCACTTTGTTTGACACAGTTGCGTCATAGCTAAGGACAGTTGACTCTTCATTCTTATGTTCTACCGGTCCCGCCCAGCTTTACTTACAATTTAAAAAGTCCTTATTTGTTAGAACATGTGAAGCCTTGAAAATAAAAAACTTTCCCCACGTGTCCTGTTGCTTCTCACCTATAGCTCCATACAGTCTTTTAGTTCAGTCTCAAGTTCAGCAAGCCCAAATTCATTTCTGTTATCCATTATTAGACTTTTCAGTTAAAATGGAAAGGAAGAGAACGTGATCTGCGGGGGGTAGCCACAGAGAGAGAACTTCAGCTTGAACGCTCAACAGTAGCAGAAAACCTGTTCAGCCTTCCTAGAAGCCAAGGCATGTCACCTGGGTTAAACAAAATCCACCTGTGATTGACCATATAAAAATGTTTCAAAATGTTTTTTTGTTTTTTTTTAAAGATTTTATTTATTTATTGGACAGAGAGATAGACAAAAGAGCACAAGCAGAGGGAGTGGCAGAGGGAGAGGGAGAAGCAGGCTCTGCACTGAGCAGGGAACCCGATGCGGGACTCGATCTCAGGACCCTGAGATCATGACCCGAGCCGAAGGCAGACGCCTAACCATCTGAGCCACCCAGGTGCCCTCAAAATGTTTTTTAAGAAGGGTTTTAGGAGCGCCTGGGTGGCTCGGTTGAGTGACTGCCTTCGGCTCAGGTCATGATCCCGGAGTTGTAGGATCCAGTCCCACGTCGGGGCTCTCTGCTCAGTGGGGAGCCTGCTTCTCCCTCTGACCCTCCCCGCCTCTTGTGCTCTCTCTCTTTCGCTCTCTCTCTCAAATAAGTAAGATCTTTAAAATAAAATAACATTTAAAAAAGAAGGGTTTTTAAAAAGTTTCACAGCATTGTTTTCTCAAATATGTATAGATTGCATTTATGGGACATTCTGGAAAAGGCAAAACTATAGGAACAGAAATGAGGTCAGTGGTTGCCAGAGCCTGGGGGTGGGGGGAAGGAAAGCACATTGGGAGGGGGATGAAAATGTGGTCCTGCTTGCGGTGGTCATTACATGATTGCATACCTTTGTCAAAACTCAAAACTGCTCACCCGAGAAGGGCAAATGTTATTGTATTTAACTTAAACCTCAATAAGTTTGGCTTTAAAAATGCATAGATTCCAACTTCCAGATAAGCCATCTGTACTTGATCTTTGTATTACCTTGTCATTTTGACAAGTGTATCTAATTTTGACCTTCAAATTGATTTTTAGCAGATTTTACATAAGTTAATGGGGTAAATGTTTTCATATAGTTTCTTTTCCCCAATTATCTGATTTTGGGACTTCTAAAGTACTTTGATAAATAATAGCAGTGGCAGCCAACATTTATTGAGCCCTGGCCCAGAAAAAGTTTTATTTCGATATCCTGATGAAGTATACCTGATTATTACTCCCATTGCAAAGATAAGGACATTGAGGTCAGAGACATTGAAGAACTTAATGAGATCGGATCTGAACTCAGGTGTACCTTATTCCATAGTTAGTGCTCTTAACCTCAAGGCTATAGTGTCTTGATACTACATTTCAAAACTTCTGATTCCGTGGGGTAGGATTCCAAAACTGTTTTGCTTTGCTTTTAGGGGAGAAGGTTCTGGAATTGTTTCTCATTATACCTTGAGACCCTCAGTGTTAAAATTTATATTATAATAACAGTAATACTTTCTAGATGATAAAAGCATTCAAAATTTTATTATAAAAACAATATAACACCATTCATAATCCCACCACCTTCACAGATATTTTCATTTCTGTATATTTCCTTGTACATCTCTATATGCCTAACACATCCATACAGGCAGGGGACACTCAACTTCGCTTTCTGGCAAGAGCATATTAAAAGGATTCTTCAAAATCATTTTTCCGGGCGCCTGGGTGGCTCAGATGGTTAAAGCGTCTGCCTTCGGCTCAGGTCATGATCCC